GCAGCTACAGACAGCACTGACTACAGCGCCAGTACTCATCCTACCGAATCCAGACAGAGACTACGTGGTGGAAGCAGACGCTAGTGACCAAGCAGTCGGAGCAGTACTGATGCAGAATCACGGACGCGGTTTGCAGCCCATCGCCTATCTGAGTAAGAAGCTACACGGAGCAGAATTGAACTACCCCATCCATGACAAGGAAGCCTTAGCGATAGTCACAGCCTTCAAGGCGTGGAGGTGTTACCTAGAGGGAGCCAAGACTACAGTTTACACTGACCACTGCAGCCTCAAATACCTGAAGTCGCAGCCGACGCTCTCACGACGACAGGTGCGGTGGGTAGACTTCTTGGAGACCCACTTCCACTACGACATCGTCTACAAGCCCGGGCTACAGAGCAAAGCTAACGCGTTGAGCCGCCCCGGTCATGTAGCAGGCATCCAACTCGACGGGATGAACCCTCTGCTCAAGGGTCTATTCCAGCATGGATACTCCGTGGACGCAGAGATCGCTACAGCAGAGAAACATATGTTGTTACAGTGGGAGAAGGACCTAGCTGTAAGAAAGGGATCAGGAAAGATTTGGGTACCGAACTATGCCCCGCTCCGACAGATCTTACTGGAGGAATTTCACGATGTGGCATACGCGGGACATTTCGGGAGCAACAAGACGTTAGCGGGAATAGCAAAGTATTACTACTGGCCCCGGATGGCAACAGACGTGCAGCAGTTCGTCACTTCATGCGACACGTGCCAGCGGATGAAGAATAGCAAGCAGAAAAAAGTAGGGTTACTTCAGCCTCTACCCGTACCGGAGCAGCCATGGCAAGTTGTCAGCCTAGACTTCATGACTGGGCTTTCTTCGACCTCACGAGGGCATGACGCTATACTCGTGGTGATCGATAAGTTCTCTAAAATGGGACACTTCATCCCGACCAACGCCACGGGAAATGCTGAAGCAACTGCTCGCCTCTTCTTCGACCGCATCATCACCATCCACGGCATCCCCGCTACACTTATCTCGGACAGAGACCCTAAGTTCACTAGTAAGTTCTGGAGGGAACTCATGGGATTGTTGGGGACAAAGCTTGCGATGTCTTCAGCGTACCACCCCCAGACTGACAGACAGACAGAGCGACTCAATCAGGTGGTTGAACAGTTACTGCACACAGCTTGCAAAGACAACGTCAACCACTGGGATTCACAGTTACCGACACTTGAGTTCGCTTACAATAACGCGTCGCATGCGGCCACAGGGAAATCTCCATTCTTCCTGTGTTACGGACGGGAACCACTCACACCACAGCAGCCGACCACACCGGCACACGTCCAAGCCGCACACGACTTCGTCACCACCATGCAGCAGCTATGGGAGCAAACTCAGCGACGCACCACGATGCAGAACTCCCAGAAGCAGTATGCCGATCGCCAGCGACGTGATCACTCAGTAGCAGTCGGAGATCAGGTGCTTCTTGACACGCACAACTTGAACCTGTCTCACCTACCGTCCAAGCTCCGGCCTCGCTTCTGTGGTCCTTTTCGCATTGAGGCACAGGTGACACCCGTCCAAGCTCCTCGCTTCTGTGGTCCTTTTCGCATTGAGGCACAGGTGACACCAGTAACATTCCGCTTGCGCTTACCTACTACGTGGAAGCTTCACAACGCTTTCCATGTTCAGCTACAAAAGCCCTACAAGGACCCCAACCAACAGTTCCAGGGACGCCAGCTACCGCCACCATCACCTGTTCTCATACAGGATGAACCAGAGTACGAGGTGGAAAAAGTTCTCGCTCATCGACGCAGACGCGGCAACACGCTCGAGTTCCTGATACGCTGGAAGGGATATGACCCATCGGAGGACAGTTGGGTTGCAGAAGCTGATATGGGCAACGCACGCCGTGCTCTCAAGGACTATCTTGTCAAGCAGGGTGTTTCTCACGCCACCCAGCTTTGAGGGGGGGACGTGTGAGAGTGAGAGTACGACGGCTTATGCTGGCTTTGCTAGCTTGCCTGGACTTTATTATGTTATTACTAGCTTAGCTTTATTTTATCTTGCATGCTTTTGCTTGATTTCCTAGGTTCGTTGCTTTTACTATATTATTATAGTTTTAGGCACCGAACTAGGTTGAGTGCACCGAATTCTAGGCTTTTCGGTTGCCACCGAATTGCCTTCTACCGAATTCGGGAAGGACCCGTTCGGGACGCTTCGCGACCCGTGGAACCTTCTAGTAACACTCGGGTTACTGCCTTTGTGTCGAGCCTATATATAGCCTCGCCTTGTACCCAGGTGAATCATTCAATAGAATCATCTTTCCTGAACCAGATCCTCACAGACGCGACGGGGGAAACGCGACGCGACGGGAGGAGGGGGACGGGCGCGACGCGACGGGGGGGAAACGCGACGTGACAGGAGGAGGGGGGGGGATGGGCGCGACGCGACGGGGGGAAGGGGACGGGCACGACGTAGGGGAGCGGGGGAAAGCGAACACTACCGCGGAAGGGCCGGCGCTAGGCTCGGTAGCTACAGGAACGGGACGGACGAGAGCGAGGATCAGGCTCGGGAGGTACGAACGATGAACGGAGGAACGGGATCCCACAGGATCCTAACCTAACTGATACCATGTTAGAATGAGAAATTGTCAGAATGTTATTCTCTAGCCTGTAGTGGGGTGCTCTATAGCGAGTACAACCCATCTAGGGTTTGCTATATGTATCCTCATTGCTGCTAGTGAAACCCCTCTTTGCCTAAACTCTCTCTTGCCTAGCTAGGGTTTTCCTAGCTATGGCTCCTAATTCTAGCCACTATCTTAACATGCTATCAGAGCGGTCACGCTCCTGGCCTGTGGGCCCACCTGCTTCCGCTGCTACTGCTACTCTGTGTGTTGCACGCCCCGTGGCGTGCGACGGATTTTTCATCCCGCCGCGCGCTCGGAGCGTGCGGCGGTTTTCTGCCCGCCGTGCGCCCCGAGGCGCGCGGCGGCTTTCTGCCCCGTCACTCCGCGCGTCGCCCCCGGGAGGCGCTGCGACGGGCGACGGGGACCCGCGCGTCGCCCCCCGTCGCCCGTCGCGGCCTGCGCGACCTGCGTAGGGCCCGAGCGCGGCCCGTACAGCCTGCGCGCGGCCCGTACGGGCTGCGCCAGGCCCGCGCGCGGCCCGTACGGGCTGCGCCAGGCCCGCGCGCGGCCCGTACGGGCTGCGCCAGGCCCGCGCGCGGCCCGTACGGGCTGCGCCAGGCCAGCGCGCGGCGCGGGCAGCCTGCGCGCGGTTCGTACGGGCTGCGCCAGGCCCGTGGGCGCCCTGTTTCCTCTTCCCCTGCGCTGCCCGCTGTCAACCGTGGTTCTTACGGCGCCCCAACCCTGCTGCTGCCCGTTCTTCTGCATTAGGGTTTGGGGGTTGGGGGTATGGGGGTGCGGATTCTGTGCGCCGTCCCCTGCTCCTCCTCCTCCTCCGTCTCCCGCTGCTGCAGCTGCCGCTCAGGGGGGTGGGTGTGTGGGAGCCGAAGGAGTGGTGCTAGGGGGGTGACGTGGGAGTAGAACTAGGGTTTGAGCAGGGGGTGTGTGTCGAGGGTGTGGGGCAGCTGGAGGAGGTTGTGTGAAGGTAGCTGTCGTGTCGCCTGCAGCGCCTGTAGTCCGTCGCCCTTGCTTCGGTAGCCAGTGAGCCTGTTGCACCAGTCGCCAGTGGGTCCGTTGCTCCTGCCGCTCGTCTATAGCCGCGGAGCCAGTCACTCCAGTAGTCCGTCGCCCTTGCTTCGGTAGCCACTGAGTCAGCCGCTCCTGTGCCCGTGCCTCTGCAGCTTCAGTCGTTGCCTCCCATCTTCTCTCCCTCCACAGTTCCTCCTCCTCCTCACTTGCCCGCTGTGATTAACTCTAGTTTTGCTTACCTTTGTGAACTCCTGCTCTATACCTGCTTGCTCATTGTACTGATTCCACCCCACTTTGGCTATGGGGGTGTGTCAGAATGTTATTCTCTAGCCTGTAGTGGGGTGCTCTATAGCGAGTACAACCCATCTAGGGTTTGCTATATGTATCCTCATTGCTGCTAGTGAAACCCCTCTTTGCCTAAACTCTCTCTTGCCTAGCTAGGGTTTTCCTAGCTATGGCTCCTAATTCTAGCCACTATCTTAACAGAAATGGATCATGCATTGATATTGGTTGGGGTACATATAGCTAACCCTAAGTTTTGTACCCCTTAAGACAAACCTCACTATAGGCTACAACATTTGACAAGGACCAACTTGTAAAGCTTATTCAACTGAAATACCGGCAAACAATTCCAAGATCAAGAGAATAACCGAAGAACTCTGTAGTAGCACACAACATGCAAGCATAGCACCATGGATCCTGCTGTCACAATGCAACACACTCGGAACAGTAATCCCTTCCATAAGAGCCTAACGTAAGTCTACCTTATGTCAGAGTAATCTGTGCTTACAAGCTAGAGAGAAGAATCTTAGCCGCACCACACGGCACCACCACCGGGGCATTCAATCAATCCCATCCCATCCACAATCAACAGTGGATGGACCCTGCTTGACACCCCTGCTTGTTCAATCCACCTGCACTGCACATTGTGGTGCATTGGCACGCACACACCGGTACGCTATTCAGCAGGCAGTGGTCACGCAGCGTGCACACACCGTGGCAATATTTTTTTTAGGCGCCTCAAAAATCACCTCATTTGCATGGCACGGCACATATGCAGCTCGCACTCATGCAGCTCGCACTCATGCAGCTCGCACTCCTGCAGCTCGCACTCATGCAGCTCACACTCATGCAGCATGCACACCGTGGCAATATTTTTTTTAGGCGCCTCAAAAAACCCCTCATAAGCATGGTACGGCACATACGGTATGCAGCTCGCACTCATGCAGCATGCACACCGTGCTGTGCCAGTCGCAGGGCAGTGAAGGGAGCTATTCGGCGACCTCGAAATGACATTATGCGCACGTGTGGTGTGACTTGAAGCAAGCAGAAGTTCTGGTGTGCTGAGCTCCACTTTGGAGTTTAGTCCGCAATCTCAAACCGACAAATCGGGCACGTGCGGTGAGTCTTGAACCACGGGGAGATGCAAGCATCACTGTATGGAGGGTGAGGCATGGAGGAGGGGGGAGGTGGGAGTGGGGAAGGAGAGGGGGTTATAAGGAAGAACGAGATTTCTGATTCGTCTCAAAGATGGGGCACGCGTGGTGAGTCTTGAACCAACTTGGTTCAACCAAGGGAGAGATGCAGGCGTCGCTGTACGGAGGGTGTGACACAAAAAGGGGGACATGGGGAAGGGCGGGGTTTGAGAGACGTCTCGAGATGGGGCACGTGTGGTGGGTCTTGAATTGAACCAAGGGGAGATGCAGGCGTCGTGGTTGAGAATCGGAGATGTGACAGAAATGGTGGGTGCGGAAAAGAGTGAGAACGTATAGCGGGAGGGATAGAGAGAAAAAATGGTGTGGTGATAGTCAGTAAGGGCTGTGGTGAAACCCTGAACCCAGTCACTGGTACATGGGAAGAACCTAGGGCACATTGAGAATATAATAATAAAATAATAATAATATAATTGGTAGTAATAATAATAGCAGTACTAGTAGTAATAATAACAATAAGTGCATGACAATAGCCATGTAAACCCAACCCCCACTCACTGGTACGTGTGCTTGCAGGGCAGCGAGGTGAGCAGCTCCCCTGCTACTGCCTCAGACAGGCAGATCTGGCAATCCACTCTCTCGTCCCCATGCGCCATCTTGCGCCGATCCAGCTTCCACATCTCCTGCTGCTTCAGCCCACTGTGGAGGGGTCATTAAGTAAGATTAGAACAGGGGAGAGAAGGGGGGCGATGGGGTTAGAGGAGCAATAATTTTACCCTCTCGTCCCCATGCCCTATCTTCGCGCCGATCCAGCTTCCACATCTCCTGCTGCTTCAGCCCAGTGTGGGGGAGACCGATGAAAGAATAACCGGGGGAGAGAAAGAGGATGTTGAGGGACAAAATTGTAACCATCTCGTCCTCCCAACATCCAGAGCTCCCAAAACGACAAGTCAAAGCCAACCACTCACCGTCGGACATTATTCCGATCCAATTCAAGCAGCTGCTCATACGTCCACGCCTCCTCGTCCTCAAACAGCAGCATCTGCGGAACCATCAGCCTCCTCGCTCCCCCATGCAGCCCTCCCCCTCCCAGCGCCCCCCCTCCCCCCCCTTGCAGCGCGCCTGCCAGCTCGTCCATGAGAATGGCCTGCATGGCGGCTTCAATGACTCCTGAATCCTCCTCGCTCATCTCCCCCTGCCACCAGAAATCGTCCGGTGCTTCTGCTGACGGGGCTGAGACGGGGAACGGGGAGGGAAGGGGGAAGGGGACGGGGAAGAGCAGGGCAGAATACATGAGAATATGGGAATTGGGGGAGGATGGGTAAGGGGAGGGGGGGGTGTATATGCATGGCGGCTTCAATGACTCCTGAGTCCTCTTCGCTCATCTCCCCCTGCCACCAGAAATCGTCCGGTGCTTCTGCTGACGGGGCTGAGACGGGGAACGGGGAGGGAAGGGGGAAGGGGACGGGAAGAGCAGGGCAGAATACATGAGAATATGGGAATTGGGGGAGGATGGGTAAGGGGAGGGGGGGGTGTATATGCATGGAGGCTTCAATGACTCCTGAGTCCTCTTCGCTCCTCTCCCCCTGCCACCAGAAATCGTCCGGTGCTTCTGCTGACGAGGCCGGTAGGTGGGGTTCAGAGGAAGATATTTGAATGCAGGGAAAGGGAAAGGAGAAAAGGCAAGGGGAAAGAGAGAGGAACCGATGGGATGGGGGAGGGGACGGGCACTGCAAAGCGAATGAAGGAAGGAAAGGACAAACGGTATTTGAAGTTGATCAAGACTGAGGGGGAAGAGGGGATGGGAAGAAGGAGGGGGTGGATAGGAGGGGATGGAGAGGAGAGGATGGGCAGGAGGAGGGGATGGAGAGGAGGGGATGGGCAGGAGGGGATGGAGAGGAGGGGATGGGCAGGAGGGGATAGAGAAGAGGGGCGAAAGGGGCGGAGGGCCTCACCATTCCTTCTGGCCCGGCGCGACCGCAACCACCTTGGGAGACGAGCCGATGATAAACCTATGCCTCTCTCCCTCTCCCTCTCCCTATCTCGCTCCCTCTCCCGCTCCCCCTCCCTCTCTCGCTCCCGCTCCCTCTCCCGTTCTCCACCCATCTCCCTCTCCCCATCCCTATCCCTTTCCCTCCCCCTCTCCCTCTCCCTCTCCCCTCCTCCCTCCCTCTCCTCTCTTTCCCGGCTCCTCTCCCTGTCCCGAAACAGCACCAGAGGCGAATCAATAACTGTAGCAGCCACTGTAGCATGGGCCGGAGCGGCAGGGCTTGGACTGGAGTGAGCGGTGGCCGGCCGGGTGGCAACAGCGGGCGGCGGCCCGTCGTCCCCATCGTCCTGATCTGGCAGAGGCGGCAGCACAGGGAGATTCTGAAGCGTCCGGAACGGCAAGGAGTTAGAGTAGGTTAAGTGCGGTTGAGAGGAGGGGTGGAGGCGGGGGGAGTTGGGGGAAGGGGAGGAGGAGGGAGAGGTTCGATTGGACATGGCGTGGTGAAGAGGGGAGTTAGTGGGATGAACGATATTGGCGGATTGAAGCACAGGAGAACTGGAGGGATGGAGGGCGTTAGGGGTGGAAGGGTGGCCGTTGGGGGATTGAAGGAGGGGGTGTTGTGGGGAAGGGTATGGGAACACGGGGATGGCGCCTCCTCCGGTTTGAAGCTCCCTGAAGGGCTGGCGGAAAGGGAATAGCACCGCCTGCTGCTGCTGCTGCTGCTGCTCCTGCTCACTTTGGTTCTGATGATGGTGATGATGGTTTTGATTCGAAATCAGCTGCTGCTGCTGCTGCTGCTGCTGCTGCTGCTGCTGCTGAAGTTGGTGGTTGTACTGCTGCCGATAGTGCTGGTACTGCTGGTGCGGATTCGACTGTGTCTGCAGGCCACTAGGAGACTCACTTCCGTTCACACTGCCACTTAAACCCCCACCCACACCACCACTAAAACTCCCACCGAACCTGTGGTTCGGGCTAAACCCCCGGCTCGGACTGAAACGGCTCGGGCTATATCCACGGCTAGGGCTGTATCCGCTGCTGAAACTATGACCCCCACTGACCATATAATTCCGATATGCAACCTGCCCCTGCCCCTGCCCCTGCCCCTGCCCCTGCCCCTGCCCCTGTTGCCTCAGTCCTTGCGCCTGGTGCCCCTGCCCCTGTTCCTGTTCCTGTTCCTGCCTTGGCTCCTGCTCCTCCTGTTGTCCCTGCCGTCCCTGCCCCTGTCGCCCCAGCCCCTGCCCCAGAGGAGGGGAGGGTGCCTGGAAGCGGTGAGCCGCAGGCATGGATGACGTGGTGCTGAGCTGGCGGTCGCTGAGCTGGCGATCGCGGCGCACACGACGAATCACGTTCAAGGCGGAGAGCCACCTGCGCACTGTTGGATGATGCGGGTGGCATGACGTCATTTGGATGACGTGGAGTCGTTAGCATGGTGTATTGTTATGAGGATGACACGACATCATTTGGATGACATAGGGTCGTTCCATGGAATGAAACATCTCCAAGAAAAACATCATAAATAGATTAGGATGGAATAATGACACAAAGATGCTATGTAAGAAATTAGCTTAACCGCTCGTGTACCTCTGGACGATGATCTGCGGTCTGATGCGGTGAGGTGTGGTGGAGACGCTGGAGAGCCACGACTGAAAGTGGAGAGTGCGAAAGGGAAGAATGAACCATCAGCACGAAGCAATGCCTTTCACGAACCGGCTGCAGCAAACTTCGTAACCTTCTCAGCTTTAAAACCCTTATAGAAATCGACTTACGTTGTGCCTCTGACAGACATCTGACGGAATCCGTCAAGGGGAACGTCCACAAATCCTCCTCCTGATGCTTCTTCCGTTGCTGCTAAAGCAGCCGCCGCGGCAGCTGCAGCCGCCGCAGCAGCAGCCACGGCAGCGCTTCCGCCAGCTCCCATAGGAGAATCTCCCCCTGCGGACGCGCTGCTGTTCCGCCCGCCCCACACGCGCGCAGCCCCGCGCGCCCGCGCGCCCGCGGGCGTCAAGGGGGACGAATCCGCGCCTCCGCCCACCCGTTCCCCCGCCCTTCCTCTGCGCGAAATCCCCCGCCTCCTCTGCCGAACGCTGCTAGATCCTCTAACAGGCGCAGTTTCGCCAGAAGCCGCGTTAGTGGCGGCATCGTTATAGTCAAAGCGCCACGGCGACATCCCAAACGACAAAGCGCGCCGCCCTAATCCTGGGGGACGCCGCCTCGCCGGAGAGAGACTATCGTCATCATAGGCGAATCTTGCTACTGATTCGCTCCTCCTAGATTCGCTCGTAGCCCCAGCTGCGCCCAACGTCCCCCTCCCCGCGACCTCCCCGCGCCGCCTCCCCCCCACTGTCCCCGTTAAAGGGCCCGAACCCACGTGCGTTATAGGTGAACTGAAAGAAGTGTCGGTGTCGGGACTCGAACCCGAGTCGTGACGGCGCAAGGACGTGCTTCCAGCGGTCCCCGCGTCGCTGGCGGAAGAAACGGCACTGGCGGAGGAAAGCGCACTGGCGGAACTTTGCTGGGAAAGGCCGCGCCATCTGCGGGAGAGAAACCCAACAGATGCCATGCTGCGGAACAGGGCGGAAGGAGGTAGGGGGAGAGGCGGAATCGGATAAGGGGAAAGCAAAAACAGACAGCGGAACAGAAAGACTGACGACGGGAAAAAACGGAGAGCGAAGGGAGGCACAGTGATTTGAAATAGGTTTACCTGCGCGCAAGTACAGAGGAGGGCGACCTCTATCCCGAGACTACAAGCTCACAAACGCCGCGCAGGCGCCCTCTAGACCTCTTACAGAAGAGGACGACCTCTATCTCAGGAGCTTGGGACGAGCTTACTTGGCGCGGCGCCTGCGCGGCGCCTAAGTAGGAGGCAACGGTAGCGAAGACGACGCCGTCCCAGAGAGATTCGTAAACAAGCCGGCCAGCAGTCGCTGTTTGAAACGCACGGCGTGGAGTCAGACGGCACGGTGACTTCTGATTCGCCTCAACAGTTATATCGGGAGGGACACGGCGTTGAGTTATAGATTGGAGGGAACACGGCGCCGGGAACGGCTCAGAAGCTCCTCAGATTCTAGAATTGGTTGCAGGTGACGACGCCGCGAGAGGAGCACAGCGTCTCCGTCTCCTCGCCTCCTGTGCGACGATTCTCTCGTGCGACGATTCTCTCATGCGACGATTCCCTCATGCGACGATTCCCTCATGCGACGATTCCTTCATGTGTCCATCCCTCTCATGCACTTTTGAACCGCTTTTCCTCTTGAACCTCGCTTCAAAAATCAACTCCCGCGCAGTGACGTTTCCCAAATGTACACTCAAATTCCGTGGCTTACAATCTAAATCGCATTCTACGTCTGCACACGTTTAAAGTGGTCTCGAATCCACGTTTCAAGCCTGCCGCGCGAATACTGTGTTGGTCAATCCCGAGGGGGTTAGTCGAGTTACTAGACACACGAACTCTATGAAGGGACTTCAGGGGGTTACCTAACTCTCGACCATGGATGGCGAATCCATTATGTAGACTGGATATTCCTTGGTCGGTGTAAAGTCATTATTTCCGAGACGTATGTACAGATAAGCAAAAGACGAGAGACGTAACGAACGAGCGTTGTAAAAGACGAATGAATTTACTTCCAGGAACGAGGCCGATGTGACACGTCAAATCCAAGACACAATCGCCCGGTTCCTAAACATGCATGGTAACGAGCCTTCCGCAAATCCCGTTCAAGGTCAAGGCGGCGCCAGCGGTGACATGCCAGCCGAACCAACAACCCTCTCACTTCACCACAACAAGTGATCGTTTCGCTCTGAACTTTCACCTCTTCGTCCTGCCTCCCGCTTCCATTTCAACCCTTGGGATTGCCCACGTGCTGCTCTCACCGCTGCCATACGAACAGCCCCCTCGAAGACATCGAGCAGGCACCAATAGTGCAAGGGAATCCGAGGGTGGAGCACAGATGTGCCTCGCAACACAAACCACACTGAAACATACTGTATCGTATTATTACGTAAACAACCGTGTTAAAAACCTCTGTAGCCCCAAGGGCTTGGCAGCCTGTAGAAGGCAACATAAGTACTTCGGTAGTTGCGGGACGAGTTGCTCTGGTTCGGTAGAGACCTCAACTTGGACATGGGCTGAAATTCATTACAGGCATGGATCCAGCCTCGACCCTTGGTCCGCTTGATTTGGATGGCTCGGGTACGGGAAGAAACAGGTGAGGGAATTGCTAGAAACTTTTGCGTTGGAGTTCTGGTGTGGGCATGGCTGGACCACTATGGGTGTGGCGCAGTCGTTTGGTTTGTGGTAGGATTGAGTTCGGTAGAGAGCGGCGAGAACAGCACGCGCATTTGTGGGGGAGGGGGGTGGGTGAATTTAGGGACAACAGTGTGAAGGGGAGTGGTGAGCGATGAACGCGATGTTCATGCGACTCCCTGGTGTACGCACCCAAGTAGTTCCGACGGTCGCAGGGCAGCCGACATCAAGTGACGGCGATCTCTGACATGTCGCCCGACGTCGTTATTGTGGCTGAGGCTCTCGGTTCGGGCGGAGACTGGTTCGACAAACCACACAAACCAAGATCATACTATAGCGCAAAGCCCCTGGATGTGTGGCTTGGCAGGAGAAGCCGAGCCAAAGGACACACAATGTACAATTTGCTGTTTTGACCCGATTTCAGGCTATTGGAAACTACTCAATACGAGACTTGGGGGTAAGGTACACTGGAACTATACAAATCTACTATCCAAGCAAATATAAATAAGAAACAAATATAGCACCAACAAAATGCACAATTCTTGTCAAACCTAGAATACTCCTTGGAGCTTCCACAAAATAGAACAAACCGATGTCCAAAGAATCAGGTTGACAATGGCAGAAATGCCTCCAATCTTGAACAAGTCAGGAAGACTTACATAACCAGCTGCAACAATTACAACCAACAAGAAAGGGACAAACATCAGTGCACGACAGGGAAAAACATATGTCCACAAAACAATCCGCACCCGTCAATCACATGCAACCACAAAGCATCCATTATAACTCACCTCCATAATACAGCGCTGCCTGCCCGCTGCTATAATGCGTAATTGCACCAAACAAATTCGTATTTAACGCCAGTGCGAACGCACCAACCTCCCCGGGAACACCAGCAGCTAGCTGCATGGCGAGGAAAGCCGCATACAGCGCCCCCACGTGAGCTGTCTGGCTGGCAAAAAGGTAGTGAGCGAGGAAGTAGAGTACTTGCAGCTGGAAGAAACTGGAAACCCAAGTTAGCTCTGCTGGGAAGTCTAGCGGTGGTACGGCGACAGCAGCAGTGGTGATGGCAGTAGATACTGCTTCTCCTGCTGCTGCTCCTGCTGCTGCTCCTGCTGCTCCTGCTGCTCCTGCTGCTGCTCCTGCTGCTGCTACCGCTCCCCCTGCTCCCACTCCCGCTGCTGCTGCAGTCACCCCCCCAACCATCTCCCCCAAATCTCCCCCCAGCATCCCCACCATTCCCCCCATCTCCTCCCCCAGCATCCCCCCCGTCGCCATATCCCCAGCCAGAATCCCACCGGGAACCATCCCAAGCCCCCCTGCAACCCCATCGGCCATCCAACCAACGACCCCCAAGTGGGTGAGCTGGGCGGACATGGCGATGAGAGCAGCGAACCACATGAGAGTGTCCCAGGCTGACTTCTCAGAGAGACAATCGGACCACGAGACGACGCCTGAGAGGAGGAGGAGAGAGAGCGCTGACATAGCGGTTACCACACTGGGAATACCTAGCGACTCCCTGCTTGGGTGAGGGTGGGGTGGAGGGGAAAAGCGGGGGAGAGAGAAGGGGCGATGAGAGCAGCGAACCACATGAGAGTGTCCCAGGCTGACTTCTCGGAAAGGCAGTCAGACCACGAGACGACGCCTGAGAGGAGCAGGAGAGAGAGCGCTGACATGGCGGTTTCCACACTGAAGACACTCAGCGACTCACTGATTAAGAGGGCGGAGAGAGGGGGAGGAAAGAGAGCAGAATTGCATGAAGGAAATAGTGAGCTAGGACAGAGAGAGAATGTACCCCAACACACACCGGCACATACTCATACCCCCTCCCCCCCGACACACACACCAACACAGCAACACACCAGCATGCGAGCACACCAACTCACATCAACTCACATCAACTCACATCAACTCACATCAACTCACATCAACTCACACCAACACCCATCGCACTCACCCCATTATCCACATGGTGATCGCCAGTCCCATGGTGCCAATCATGATCATCTCCTTCCCCCTCACCGCCCCCATCTCCTTTAAGCTCCTCCGTTACAAGAACACCTATTCATGCTGACCATGCACTCACCCCATGGTCCACATGGTGATCGCCAGTCCCAGCACCCCAGGACACACACACACACCAACGTAGCAGCAGCACACCAGCACATACCCATCACACTCACCCCATGGTCCACATGGTGATCGCAAGTCCCATGGTGCCAATCATGTTTTTTTGAGACGTCTCAAAACTCCCCCGTCACAAGAACACCTATTCATGCTCACCATCATGCACTCACCCCATGATCCACATGGTGATCGCCAGTCCCAGCACCCCAGGACACACACACACACCAACGTAGCAACACACCAGCACATACCCATCGTACTCACCCCATTATCCACATGGTAATCGCGAGTCCCATGGTGCCAATCATGTTATTTCGCCTCTCACACCCATGCATGCTCACCACCATCGCACTCACCCCATTATCCACATGGTAATCGCCAGTCCCATCGTGCCAATCATGATCATCTCCTTCCCGCTCACAGCCCCCATCTCCTCAAGCCTCCTCTTTGCAAGCCCCGGCGCCTCTGGCGTTTCTTTAACCTCCGGAGCGAACACGTTGAACATGAGCATGGGGGTGACTACCAACCCCAGCGCCCCCGGCACCACGGCCATCCCCATCCACGTGGAGAAGGCGTTGGGGATAGCGACGCCCATCTCTTGGGCGAGCTTCATGCACAGCAGGTTCTGCCCGGCTCCTGCGAGAGAAAACATGATGAGAAAGGTGGTGAGAAACATGGCAGTGCAGTGAGCAAACACCTTGACCATGAGCACAGGGGTGACTACTAGTCCCAGCGCCCCCGGCACCACGGCCAACCCCATCCACGTGGAGAAGGCGTTGGGGATTGCCACACCCATCTCTTGGGCGAGCTTCATGCAGAGCAGGTTCTGCCCGGCTCCTGTGAGGCAAAACAGGGTGGGAAACAGGGCAGTGCTGTGAGCGAACACCTTGAACGTGAGCATGGGGGTGACTACTAGTCCCAGCACCCCCGGCACCACGGCCATCCCCATCCACGTGGAGAAGGCGTTGGGGATTGCCACACCCATCGCTTGGGCGAGCTTCATGCACAGCAGGTTTTGACCGGCGCCTGTGGGAGAGGCGAAGGGGGGGGGGAGAGCGGTGAGGAACATGGCACTGTTGTGCGCGGAGGTTTGCAGTTGCCACAGGTGTGTGCGGGTGTGTGCGGGTGTGCGCGGCTGCGTGCGGCTTACCTATTGAGGAAAACACTAAGCCTTCCCACCGGTGAGAAACATGGCGCTGCTGTGTGCAGCTTACCAGTGAGGAACATTGCACTGCTGTGTGCAGAGGTCTGCAGTTGCGTCATGATGAGAAACGCGCCCAGCTTCTTGCTGCTGGGGTCGTTGGGGCGGCTGTCAAAGCGCTTAGAGAGAGAGTCGATGATGGGGAGGAACACCCCCCCCGCTCGCGCCGTGGTGCTGGGCATGGCTGGGGCTAGCAGGGCTTCGCTTGCTGAAGGTCAGAGCAGTAGGGGGGAGCAAAGGGGTAGGAGGACGCGGCAGGAAAGAAAGGTAAAGGGAGAGAGTTTAGAAAGAAAGTAGACGATAGGAAGGAAGACCCCCCCCCGCTCGCGCTGTGGTGCTGGGCATGGCTGGGGGCAGCAGGGCTTCACTGGCTGGTGGTTGTGGGGAAGGGGGGAAGAGGGGGAAGCGGGTAGGGGAGAGGGTAGCACGGAAGGGAAAGGGGAAGGGAGAGAGGCTGGAAGACCTCTCCAGCCCAAGCCGTGGTTCTGGGGATGGTCTCACCGAATCTTACCGCGCCACCCCGCTTGGAACCCTGCCGTACCGGCCTTGCCCCTACCATACCTGCCAGACCGTAGCTACAGCATTGTACCTGCAAGCCCGTAGCTGAGACAGAGCGTGCTGCTGCCGAACCACTTGACAAAGAGCGTGGCAAAGCGATCGCCCAGCCCCGTGGTGACGAACGAAAAACGCACACATTTGGGAACCGAGTTTCACCGTTCCACACCTCGTGACACCATAACAACATACCTGCCAGCCCGTAGCTGAGACCCAAGGTGCTGCTGCCGAACCATTTGACGAAGAGCGTGGCAATGCGGTCGCCCAGCCCTGTGGTGACAAATCCGCGAGCGAAGAAGAAAGAGATGACTATCAACCAGATGACCTCGTTGGTCATTGCGCTGATGAAAAAGGAGAAGACGATGATGGGGTTGGAAGGGGTCGGGGAAGGTTGGGAGGAGAGGGGGAGTGTAAGTCGCGAGCGAAAAAGGAGATGGCGATGAGCCAAAGCACCTCGTCGGTCATGGCGCTGATTTTTGGTTGGGGGAGAGGAGAGGGGAGAGCGGAAAAGGGGGGGGTGGTGGGGCGGAATGGGGAGGCGGAGCGGAAGGACGTGGGTGGTGGGGTGGCGGAGAGGTGGGCTGAGAATATATGACTATGACTCCATAAAAACAGCAGATTGAGATGGAAACGCGTCATTGCTAACCAGCTCTACATCCTATCGCCTCATAACAAGTCCGAGACTCTCTGTAACGAGTATGTATATCCTATCACCCAATGCTTCAATCTCAAGCGGTGTAAAAGGCCTCTCAGCACCTTCTCACCTAATGGCGTCAGAGAAAGAGAGAGTGCCTGTGATTATAGCGAAGGAGAGGCAAACGAAGGCCCACGCGCCCACGGGAAGCGGCCTGTTGGAGGAGAGGGGGGGGGGAAGATGAAACGGCGAAATAGGAGGTGAAGAAACGGCGAGTTAGGAGGAGATGAAACGGCGTGAGGCCTCGGGGTGATGGGTTCGGGTAGAGGGAAGAGTAAATCTGAGTCGCTTTTGAGAATTCTCAAAAGCGACTCAGACTTAGTTCGGGAAGAGGGACGAGTGGGGGAAAGGACCGCGGAGATTGGGAAGGCGGGAGTGCGGATGAGGATTAGCGGACATAACGACGTACGGCATGACCTGTCCCCGTTATAAGCCACGCCGCTTACTCACCCGAGAATCAACCCCGTTATAGTGGTGAGGAACACGGCCAGCAGCTGCCACGCTTGGTCCGTCAGCCCCTCGGGAACTGCGGCGCGCGGATTGGGGGGAGGGGAAGGGGGAGCGGGAATGGGGAGGGGGAAGGGGACGGGGAGGGGGACGGGGAGGGGAAGGGGGAGGGAGAGGGGGAAGAGGAGGGGGGTTGAAGGGGAGGGGTGAGCGGTGAGCGGTCTGGAGTCAACGGCCAGTTTCGAATGCCCGCCAGACATTAAAGCCCACGTGCAATTACAGCATACCTGGAATTAAGGCCCACGTCGCGAGGCCCACGCCGACAGACGCAGCGAACGGCAGCAACTTAACGCCGTCCCATGCAGACCCCGAGTCGCTACTCGCGTCGGCATCGCGCTCTTCGTCTGCCGGCGACGTCACAGCCGCCGTCGTCGCCACCGCCGCCGCCGGTGGCGGGGGCGACCGCTGAGCCGGCCGCGGCCCGGCCCCTGCCGCTGCCGCCGCCGCCACCCCATTTCTATGGTCCCGATGATGATGATGATGAGGAGAGCCGTGAAACTCATTCGCTGTTCTTGGTGTTTTTAACGCGGAGGATTGTAGCGGGGAAGCTGATAACGAGGACGATACGCAGGCTTCTGATGGTACACCTCGAAGGGCGAGATTGAAAGCGAGCGCTTCGGCGCTGAACGCGCTTTCCTGGAGAAGGGAGCGGTGATTGGGGCCGGAAGGTGCGGCGTTAGTCACGGCGCGAAGTGCGGCGCCTCCCGCAGTCGACCGGTGGGGGGCTGACGATTGCGACGCGGCCGACACTCGGCGGTGATTGGGAGGGGAGGGGAACGATACCGGCCCGGTTCGGCGTCGGAGCGGAACCGCGGTTGTCTTCAACGCGGTTCGGCGGCCATAGAGCGGCTTGAGACGACACTCGGGTGTGGGCGGAGTGATTACGCGGCGGGTTAAGATGGGCGCGAGAGACGGCGGGTGTCGCGGAGACGAATCTCCGCGGTGCGGTCGTCCACAATTCTGTCTTCCAAGGTTTGTCGAATCGCTCGGGTTGCTGAGTTTGCTAGAATTGTTTGCGCAGAGCAGACCCGTCGGGGCAGACACGTTGGATTGAAGCACTCCCGCCCATGACGGAAGTGCGGCTGTCATAATTTAGGGAGGCCGAATGTTAAATATCTGGGAACGAAGAACCGCGCGTTTTGAAACTTTCCTACCTCGCAATTATTGTGCGATCCGGTGAAGGTGCTAACTGTGACAGCGTGAAGATTCGCGTCGCGATTAGCAAACTCTAGACGGAAGAGAACGATAACGTCGGGAGGGAAACGAGCTGACGATTAGCAGTGAAAGAAATGGAGGCAGGCAGCACAAGCTGTAGGAAAAATGACTCCAGAAGCTCTGACATGCGACATCTTGCTTTGTGGTGGGGTAGTGAGGTGACTGACTCAGGGGGGTGAGCGCGAAGCGGAGTGAGGGCTGAGCGGTTAATCCGCGGAGCGCAGTGAGTGTGGTGCATGGGTGAACGCGGAGCGCAGCATGAGTGTGGGTGGGTGGAGAGGAGAGTGGTGAGCGCGGAGCTGAAATGCCTGCTTGATTGATAAGGTTTGTGGCGCCCCACGGCAGTTCGGTGGTTGGGGATAGTCTACCATTTGGCCGAGAAGGCGCCGAAGCTCGCTGCCGAAAAGTTCACGGCTTCGTTAGCGTTTCGTAACCCAATGAAAAGCAGATTTTCCTGCCCGCGTTATCTATCACGAAGAACCACTAAGCGAGGAGCCAGGGGCAACTTTTCGACGTTGATTGGTTGCAACTTTGTCTTTCTGGCCAATCCGTGTGCGGAGCGTGGTGGGGGTCCTTTCTAATCCAAGTGACCACTTTTCATTCGCTTTCGCCCCCTCACAATCTTTTCGTTCCACACTTCTGGCCTGCCCTAACCAATCTGATCAAGGCGCAAAAGAACGAAGCATTGTCGAGAAGGGCACGTGCGCGTCCCGCCGGCGTTGCGTCATTCTTGGCGAAATCGCGCGAATCGGCGGAAATTGCGCTTGTCTCAAAAGAATCGACCCAAATTGCTCACACTTCGCCACGTGGGCGTTTTTCTCAATTGAATGGACCGACTTTCCCCCCGCCCCCCCAACCCGTTTGTCACGCCCTTCCCCTCCAAAATTCGGGCACCAGCCGGAATTTCATGGAATCACAAAAAGTCACGAATACATGCTTTTTCGTAACGCTAAGATTCCAACACCCTAGCGACATCTGATTGGACAGAACACCTATGACTTTTAATGAGAACTTTAGCACTAATAGAGTTTTATTAATTATGTTCCTCTGCAGTAACGTATTTCTTTCATTATTCATAATAGTATGATAAAATATATTTTCTAAATAGCATCAAGCAGTAAAATAAGAAAATATCTACCTCGTTCAAAAATAGTTTTGCCAATTAGTGACTATTATAATAAGTTTCCAAAATTTAACTCTTAGTTTTTTATGGTTTATGGAATTAGCTGTATATAGATATATAAAAATCATACAAAACCTATAGGTCATTTTTCATATGTTTTCATGCCATTAATGTAGACAGGGGCGCAAGAAAACTTATCACAAATAACTTACAGATTTTTTTGTTTTTTTAATATCTATATAAAACTCTCTCTGGAAACCATAAAAATCTAAGAGTTAAATTTTATAAACTAATAATAATAGTCACTCCAGGGAAAACAAAACTAACTATTTTTGAACTAGGTAGATATTTTGTTTGATTTTACTGCTTGATATGAGTCAGAAAATAAATATTATCATACTAAAAAATGTTACTGCAGTGGAACATAAAAGGTCAAATCCCTATTTCTGTTAAAGTTCTCATTAAAAGTCATAGGTGTTCTGTCCAGTCAGATGTCGCTAGGATGTCGAAACCTTAGCGTTCGAAAAAACATGTATTCGTGACTTTTTGTGATTTCACGAAATTCCAGCGGGTGCCCGAATTTCGGGGGGGGAAGGGCGGGAAAAACGGGTTAAGGGGGTGGGGGGAAAAGCGGTCCATACAATTGAGAAAAACGCCCGCGTGGCAAAGTGTGAGCAATTTGGGTCGATTCTTTTGAGACAAACGCGATTTCCGCCGATGCGCGCGATTTCGCCGTCATTCTTCGAAATGATATGCTGGATGCGCCAAAGGTGTGGCTCAGGCCACATCATCCTAAAAGCTGCGCCATCTCACGAACCCCTTCCATGAAGAATGAACGCCTTCGATTGACACACCAAGACAAACCTGTGTTGACTGCGGAGATGAGTCACTAGCGGGAATGGGGCGCACCATTGCGATTGGCCATTTCGGGTTACGATATTTACGTGCTCAATCTGGCGAACATGTAGAACAATTCGCTATCCATGTACGCAACAACAACATACAAATTTGGGTTGTCTACCTACATCTGTTATGCTGTGTGTACTTATTCACTTGATCAATTAGCAAATAATAAATCATACTCACATCTTTAAAGGGCTCGCATGCTTTTCCTCTTCATTTCAAGGTGCAGATGAGTTATAAAGGAGGTAGTTTTGGCATGTGCTGCATTTTTTATTGTAAACAAAACATAGCATCATATGGCGTCTTTTTTTTTATCAAACGCGATATCATATGTATATCTTGACTAGAACTCTAACTTGGGACAATAAATTATTGGAAAAATGAATGGTTTCTTGTTCGGCATCGTTTTTTTTTTTTTTTTCACACAATATTTGCTGTACAAACAGCTACTCCAAACTTCCAAACTTGGCAATGAAGAAAACCTAATGAACTGTTTTTCTCTATCTCTGTCTTACCAAACTATTCAGCGGATGAGCACCAGTAATGCCCTGATCTCCTCGTCAGATGTGTAGATAGAGACGTTTAGGGTTCAGCAGTTAGGCTAGCGTTACCGCCTCGTCCGTTCGTTTACCGCTCCTAATCTCCCTTAATTTCGATCTGCGCATTCGCCGTTGCTAGCGTCCCTTGTTTGCTGTCTCATCGACGAGTCACCGTTGATTTGGAAGCCTTTATAACGAAAAGATGAAGCTCGTCAGGTAGGAATCACCCATTCATTCCAATGGCTGTTAATTCATTCCAAATCGTACGTTTCCAAGGCTTCGGCTTGATGTTGTCTGACAGTCTGGTTGCTCTTGAACTTGTGCAGGTTTCTTATGAAGCTCAACAATGAGACGGTGTCCATAGAGCTGAAGAATGGCACGATTGTACACGGGACCATTCTCGGTAAGGCTATAGATTACATATTGCCTTCCCATCCCGTTGTCGTCTCCACTCATCGTTGAACTTAATCAGCGACGCACTTCTCCCAGACCAACCGATTTATCAGTTCCTGGAAAATAAGGGACTAAACGTCCATTTTTTAGCTATTCGATTCCTCGTCTAAAACTCCCCCATTTTCCCGGTTTTCCCTCCTTGCGCTCTGCTGGATTTTCCGCTCTTTCCGTTCGGGGATCTTCATGAACCCGCAAATAGTCGTCGCTCTAAGATGCTGGCAGCTTGACGATTGACAATTGTACGTAGTTGCAGAGGTAACACGATATTGTCATCATGCAGCTTATTTCTGTGTCCTCATTTTTTTTCTTCAATTTTTTTCCCGTTTTCCCCGTTTCGCTGCTGCGTTTCCCACCCCACCCGCTCCCTTTCCCCCACGCCCGCTCGGCGTTTTCCACTCCCCCGCCCCCCCCTTCCCTTCCCCTCCCCTCCACTCCCCCCCTCTCCGTTCCCCCCGCCCCTCCCTACCCCCTTTCCTCCCCCTATAATTCCGCTGAAATGCATCAGGGGTGGACATCAGCATGAACACCCACCTTAAAACAGTGAAGCTTACAGTCAAGGGCAAAAACCCAGTGGCCCTGGACCATTTGAGTGTACGGGGACACACAATTCGGTATTTCATCCTGCCTGACAGCTTGAATCTTGACACACTGTTGGTGGATGATGCACCCCGACGAAAGGCAAAGAAACAACCAGCAGGTATGTGCATCTGTGGTCGGGGGCATGTGTTATTCATTTATTATGTTTGTGATGCTGTGTGATTAGGTACAACCATTCTGATTTCATTGTTTTATGATTGCTTTTGCAGGGCGGGGTGGAGCTCTGGGAAGAGGCAGGGGACGAGGAAGGGGCAGGGGCCGCGGTCGTGGCCGTGGCTGATATCCTTTTGGCATGCAGTCTCAAAGAATATAACAGTCAAACCAAACAAGCATGCGGTTTTCATGAACATAACACGCTAGTGTAGTCATTAATCTCACATGTAAGAGGCGGGAATGTTTTGAATGATATGCTCAGCTGAGTGAAATTGAAAACTGTAGCATCCAAGTTGCAGGCAATGGTGTGCCCCGTACGCGATATCAGCATTTTCTAAGCAAGCGACTCGGCAATCCTAAGACCCGACAAAGATTCTCCAAGCCAATTTGTTGTCGCTGCTTTTCCTCGCTCGCATAAAAGCTGGAAACGAACTCGCTATTGCACACGCCCTGAAATCTCGTTCGCGCTGTCGTTTGCCACCGCCTCACGTTAATCTACCATTCCTGGTCAATTTCTCCCCCTCCCGCGCGCGTCACGAATCCCTCCCGACGGTCTGCATGACCTCGCCTCTCGAACCACAAGATGGCCCAGTTTCCCGTCTCGCATTGCGCATTCTTGAATGTAGGGTTTGCTGGGAGCTTCGTGCTTCGGCTTACCTCATTCTTAGAGTTCCTCGAGATCCATAGCTGGTTGTTTTATCGGGTTAAGCCGACTTGTAGGCAGATCCGGCCAGTTCTGCCTTTTTTTTGGCTGACTGATAACGGATTTTGGTTCAGGACCCAACTTTACGGAGTCTATTCCGTTCCGTCAGCAGCTGAATCCGTCCGGCCACCCTGACCGAATCTCGTAGGTGCTCTTCCCACATTCCGGGCTCTCCACCCTTCATCCCGCGTCACAAGAGCCAGATTAGCTACTGTCACGCTTCTCGTTTTCCCGAGCACCCGTCATCTCGTTGGTCCTACTTGAGAGCACCGCTTGCGTCATAATTTTAGGGTTTCGTTCCGAGATTGCCCCTCACTGACTATGTCAAGTTGGAATCTCGTATAGTTAGCCTCGGTAACGCGTTTAGCACCGCATCGCTCTCTGTCACCTCTTTCGCGGCAAGTTCGTTTCTGTCCGCTTTGCTCCATTCGTCATTGTGCCACTTGGGCGTTTCTTTCGTGTTTCCTTCACGTTCCCTTCACCCGGCTAGCTCTGTGCTTGTATCGAAAGCTCTTTTCGGATTCGTTCAATGTTGCTCCGATGCTACTGCCAGCGGTTACGAAATTTCGGACATTGGAAGCGCTCCAGCTGCAGTTTAGGGTTGCGCCGTTGTTTCCTTCGTTCTCCCGTTGTTGCATTCTTGTTACCGTTGTTTCCGTCATTCTATCGTTAATTCCTTCATGTTACCGTTCATAATCTCTGCACTTAATGTCCCACCTCACCGCTTCAGCCTTGTCGCTCCCCCATACCCGTTCTCAGATATCTTATTGAATTTTCACCCGTTCTTTGATATCTTATCTGCTTCACACCAAGTCATCTGTTTCCTCCTTTCTTTCCTCCTCTCTTTCATCCTCTCTTTCCTCCTCTCTTTCCTCCTCTCTTTCCTCCTCTCACATCTCTCATGCACAGGTCATGAGCTGCCAAGACGGATCAAACAAACCGGCACTCGCCGAATCCCAGTCTCCTGTGACGACACCTGTCGGCACACGATTGGCTGGTTCCATTGGCCAGCCAAGCTATGTCACAGCGGGTGCAGCGGCCAGTGCTGTTTTCGGCGGTGGTGATGGGCTAGATAGTGTTGCTGTCGCTGCTGCTGCCGCTGCTTCTGGTGTTAGTGGCGGGCTAGGTAATGCTGCCGTCCCTGGTGTTGGTGGGGGGCCTCTTGCTGCTGGTGGTAGTGGTGGGCTAGGTAACTCTCGTGTCTCTGGTGTTGGTGGGGTTGCTGCCGCTGCTGGTGGTAGTGGCGGGCTAGGTAATGCTGCCGTCCCTGGTGTTGGTGAGGGTTCTTCTGCTGCTGCCGATGAAGGTTTGTTGAGCTTTCTTTGCAATACTGCCTTGGTAGCTGCTGCTCCTGCTGCTGCCACTGCCACTGCCACTGCTCCTGCCCCTGCCACTGGCACTGCCACTGCCACTGCAGTTTCCGGTGCTTCTAATGGTGCTTCTGCCTCAGCTAATGGTGTTGGTGAGAGTGATGGCACTGCAACCATATCAGCTAGCCATGCCACCAGGGTTCTGATTCCGTGCTATCAGCTAGCTGCAGTGCCTGCGGTTAGGGTTTCTCCGCCTCCTTCTCCTGCTGCCGCTGCTGCTGCTCCTGCTGCCACCTCGCCTGCTAAAGCCGCCTTTCCTGTGTGTATGGAAGGAACAAAGCCCTGCATAGCAAGGGCTGTCATTGAGGGAGCAGTACGAGATGTTACGGCAACTGACGCAGTTGATGCATCAGTTGAAACGGCCATTGATACAGCAGCTGACGTGGCAGCGAAATTGGATTATTTCGCAGCTGACGTGGCCGCTAAATCAGGAGATGGTGCTGGAGCAGAAGCAGTGGCTGACGTGGAAGACAACTCAAGAGCTGCTACTGCAGCCGAAGCAGTAGCTAACATTCCAGCCCAATCAGGAGCTGATACTGCAGCAGAAGCGGCAGCTAGTGCTCAAACGACTCAAACGACGACACATGCTGAGATTTGTTTTGACAGCACAACAGCCGAAGCAGAGGCAGACAAGAGGAGTCGCAAGTTGAGGAAGAAGAAGCGGCTGGTGCGTGTCTGTGTGAGAGAGGTTGCATCTGAGTTCAGTTGCAACGAGAAACTGGTCTATCCTGTGATGCTTGTGCCTGCCTGCCCTTCGTCTCTTCCTTTTCCTCTCTTCCATTGCCTCGCTTCCTTTTTCTCCCTTCCTTTTCCTCTCTTCCTTTTCCCTGTCTTTTTCATCCCCTTGTTGAGTCCTCCCCCTCCTCCTCCTCCTCCTCCTCCTCCTCCTCCTCCCTCCTCCTCCTCCCTCCTCCTCCTCCTCCTCCTCCTCCTCCTCCTCCTCCTCCTCCTCCTCCTCCCCCTCCTCCTCCTCCTCCTCCTCCTCCCCCACCTTTGTATGCCCCTGTCAAGCTGATGAGATGGCAGGAGAAGAATATCATGATTTGCCCAAGGTATCGCCTTTTGGTGTGACGATTCTTGAGGCACCCAAAAAGTTTTCTCTCCCGTCGTCTCTTCTTCTTCCTTCTCCCTTCCATGCCCCTGTTAGGCCGATGACATGGCAGGAGAAGAGTTTTTCTTCCTGCCCAGAAAAGTGCCAACAAGACGGCCTAAAAAAGCCGCGCCCGAAACACTTCCCGAGCCTGCTACCAGACCTGCCAGCGAACCTGCTACCGAGCCTGTGACGGAACCTGGCCCGGGACTTGGTATGGAAGGAATGGAAGCAAAGCAGGTGCTTCTATCCGAATTGTCTACAGCAGCAGAGCGTATCAGGTCAGGACTTGATGTGGCAGGGCTTATGGAAGCAGCAGCAGTAGTGGAAACACCGTCACTGAAGCAGGCTGCGTTGAGAGAAGAGTCAGAAGCGCAACCAGGAGCCTTTGAGTCAACGCACGCGGCGCCGAGGAATCAGAATTTGGTGAAGGAAGAGTCAGAAGCGTGTGCAAGAGCTGCCAGTGCGATTGGCTGCTTCCAGCAGCATCAGAATTACCATCAGAATCAGCAGCAGTGGCGGCAGCATGAGCAGCAGGATGATCACCAGCGACAGCAGCAGTGGGGCCAGAAGCTGAGTCTGACGCAGCCTTATAATATTTCCTGGGAGCTTCGGGAAAGCAAGCCGACCAGTAGAAACGCACCACTTGGCGCACTTGGTACCAATGGGTTGAGTTCATCGAACCGTGATTCGTCGTTGGCAGAAGGGGTGCGATTAGGGTATCATAAGGAAGAGGCTATCACAGAGGGGACTGAACGAGGTGATGGAATGAGGGATGAGGAGGGGGGTGGTGAAGGAGAAGAGAAGACGGCTCATGGTGTTGCTGATGGTGTTGGTGTTGCTTTTGGTGTTGCTGATGGTGTTGGTGTTGCTAAATTGGAGCGGAATTGCTTGCCAGGGGTAGATGTGGTGGGGGCTGGGAGCCATGGTGGTGGATCAGGTAGTGAGGAAGAGGGACGTGGAGTGGGAGAAGAGAAGACGGTATGTGTTGGTGGTGGTGGTGTTGGTGCTGCTCTTGTGGAACAGAATGGCTTGCCTGGGGTTGAGGGTCGAAAAGGGAGCAAGGGGAAGGGGAAGGGGGTGGGGAAAGCGAAGGAGGGAGGGAAGGCTGAAATGCGTTGTAAAGGGGCTAAAGCGAGGGCAGGAGGCAAGGCAAAAGCAGGAGGAGGGTCAAGCGGGGATGGGTTGGAGAAGGGAGGTGCAAAACCCAAGAAGTCTAAGTCTGTAAAAACTGCCAAGGCTGCAGGTTCGGCCAAGGCTGCAGGTTCGGCCAAGGCTGCAGGTTCGGCCAAGGCTGCAGGTTCGGCCAAGGCTGCATGTTCGGCCAAGGCTGTAGGTACGGCCAAGGCTGTAGGTACAGCCAAGGCCCAGAGGAAGCGTGAGGAAGCAGGGGGACAAGCAGGTGTGGCGGGAAAGAAGGCGAAGGGGACGGGAGGAAAGAGGAAGGGGATTGCAGCTGTGATGCGTGAGGGTGATGGTGCTGAGGGTGTTGGGAATGAGGGTGGTGTTTCTGGGTCAGGTGCTGCAGGTGGTTCAGGTGTTTCTGGGTCAGGTTCAGGTGGCCTGGTGGTTGGGATCCCATCTGTTCCGCCCCTTTCCCCCTTAGCGCCCCCCTCCGCCTCTCCCCTCCCTCCTTCCCCTCACGCACTTCCCCCTCCCCCATCTCCCCCGCCTCCTCCCCTTCCCCCGCCCCCGCCCCTGCCCAAACCATGCTTCGACTTCCTCCTCCCCGGCAGCAGCATCGGGGATTTGATTGCAGTCTGGGACTTCTGCTGCCGCTTCTCCCCCGCCCTCCGCCTCTCCCCCTTCTCCCTCTCGTCCCTGGAGCTTTCCCTGGCGTATGAGGGGGAGGATGGGGGCGGGGGGGGGCGCGGAATGGGGGGAGGACTGGGGGAGGAAATGGGTGGGAATAAATCTTCAGGGGGAAAAGCCGAGGGGATGGACGGGGACGGTGGTGATGGGCAGAGGGGGAAGAAAGGGAGTGAGCAAGAGGGGGAGCAGGGGGGAGATCAAAGTGAAAAGCAAGGGGAAGAGCAGGAGGCAGAGCAGGGGGGTGAGGAAGGGCGACGGCAGCTGAAAGGGCAAGAAACGGGGTTGGGGTATGGGGATCAGAGAGAGGAGGGGATGGAAGGGGAGAAACTGGAAGAAGAGGAGTTGAAAGAGGAAGGAACGAGTGAGGAGGCATTGGAAGAGGAAGGGTTGAAAGTGCAAGGGTCGAAAGTGGAAGGGTTGAAAGTGGAAGGGTCGAAAGAGGAAGGGTCGAAAGAGGAAGAACCAAGAGAGCAGGCATTGGAAGGGGAGGGATTGAAAGAGGAAGGGCAGGCATTGAAAGAGGAGGAAAGGGAGGGGTCGGAAAGAGGATGGGATTGGGTGGGAGGGTGGGGGAAGGGGCGAGGGCTGAGAGGCAGACGGGATGTAGGAGGAAAGGAAGGGGGTTTGAGCGAGAGAGGGGAGGAAGGAATAAGGAAAGAAATTGTTAACAAGAGAGGGAGCGGCAGGAGGGGCAGAAGAGGGAGTGAGGGAGGGGGAAGGCGTGGAGAGGTTGTGTTACCGCCGCTGTTGGGGGAGGTGCATACGGCACTGCTGCGGGCAGCTCTGAGCCATAAGGGTCTCGAAGAGGAGTTCAAGAAACGGCGGCAGGGGAAGAAGGAGGTAGGTGGTGCTGTGGTGGTATGTGTGATGCATTTTTGTAGACTCTGTAGCCTTTTGAGGCGCCTCAAGGAAAGGTCTTGCTTGCTCCTCTGTTGGGTGAGGTGCACACAGCACTGCTGCGTGCTGCTCTGAGCCGCAAGGGTCTCGAAGAGGAGTTCAAGAGAGAGCGGCAGGGGAAGAAGGAGGTAGGTGGTGCTGTGGTGGTATGTGTGATGCGTTTTTGTAGACTCTGTAGCCTTTTGAGGCGCCTCAAGGAAAGGTCTTGCTTGCTCCTCTGTTGGGTGAGGTGCACACAGCACTGCTGCGTGCTGCTCTGAGCCACAAGGGTGTGCACAAGGGTTGAAGAGGTACAAGGAAGAAGGAGGTACTGTGGAAGGAGGTACTGTGGAAGGAGGTACTGTGGAAGGAGGTACTGTGGAAGGAGGTACTGTGGTGGTATGTGCGATGCATACCTTTAGTTGAACGAACAATCCCTACATTGGCCATTGAGAACAATTTTTGTGATTTTTTTTCAAAACTCGAGCGAATCCTGCACTGGCCTCTCGTGTATGGATCGGTCCACACCTGGCTTGTGAACCTTTCTGCAAAGTTGAAATTTCGATGTAGAAAAAAAGATGCTAATCAAGCTCTTCCTTTCCTACTCTCTCCGCCCCTGTCAGGTATCGCCTCACACATGGCTGGAGGACATATCAGCATGGGCCAACACGGCGGCCAAGTGTTGACTTGAGTCAAACTCTTCCCACACTCCCCCCCTGTCAGGTATCGCCTCACACATGGCTGGAGGACATATCAGCATGGGCCAACACGGCGGCCAAGTGTTGACTTGAGTCAAACTCTTCCCACACTCCCCCCCTGTCAGGTATCGCCTCACACATGGCTGGAGGACATATCAGCATGGGCCAACACGGCGGCCAAGTGTTGACTTGAGTCAAACTCTTCCCACACTCCCCCCCTGTCAGGTATCGCCTCACACATGGCTGGAGGACATATCAGCATGGGCCAACACGGCGGCCAAGTGTTGACTTGAGTCAAACTCTTCCCACACTCCCCCCCTGTCAGGTATCGCCTCACACATGGCTGGAGGACATATCAGCATGGGCCAACACGGCGGCCAAGTGTTGACTTGAGTCAAACTCTTCCCACACTCCCCCCCTGTCAGGTATCGCCTCACACATGGCTGGAGGACATATCAGCATGGGCCAACACGGCGGCCAAGTGTTGACTTGAGTCAAACTCTTCCCACACTCCCCCCCTGTCAGGTATCGCCTCACACATGGCTGGAGGACATATCAGCATGGGCCAACACGGCGGCCAAGTGTTGACTTGAGTCAAACTCTTCCCACACTCCCCCCCTGTCAGGTATCGCCTCACACATGGCTGGAGGACATATCAGCATGGGCCAAC